CATTTTAAATGAAAAGCTTGGGAAAGCAGCCTGTGGGTCACCCGCACCCCAATAGCAGTCCCACTCCCTGTGTTCCTCCAACTAGGGTGCGCCCAGAAGGACCTCCATTCCAAAACCTCCCCCACCCAATGACTAAAGGAACAGCTTGGAAAAGCAGCCTGTGGGTAACCTGGACCCAGCACCAGTCCCAACCACTGTGTTCTTCCAACCTGGAACACCTCAGACACTCCTCCATTCCACACCTACCCCATACCCCATGGACAAAACAAAAGCTTGGGAATGCGGCCTGTGGGTCACCCGCACCCCAGTACCCGTCCCACCCCATGTGCTCCTCCAAAAAGGCCCACATCAGACACACTCCTCCATTCCACACCTACCCACACCCCACAAACAAAGAAATACCTTGAGAAAGCAAGATGTGGGTCACACGCACCCCAGTACCAGTCCCACCCACTATGCTCCTCCCACTAGACTGAGCTCAGCCTCTGCCCCCACCGAACCCCAAACCCACCTGCATCCCATTCCCCAATGAAAAACCAGGGAAACAAACCTGTTGGTTTTTTGAACTCAAGGTTTATTAACAACACAACTGGGAGAGAAGGAAGGGACGAGGTTGGCCTGCTAAGCAGGGCGGCCTGTGGGAAGGTTTGGGGGTGATGGGACTTATGCGCAATGCATAGATAGATGGGGTGAATGGGCCACTCAGCAACCCAGAGCCAGCAGAGGCAGCATCAGGTAGTACCTAGATTTGACGTCGACGACGACGAGGTCCAGCTGGGGCCGTCTGAGAGATGGTGGTGAACTGGAACATTTCGCTCAGAAGGGCGTTGTTGTAGATGGTCAAGTCTAGGATTTCAGGGGTGATGAGCCTCTGGGCGCCTAGGCGTTGGGCCTCGTTGCTTGCCAGCTCCAGCAGCCTGCGTGTCAGGAACTCCAGGATGGCGGTCACCAAGATGGGCACTGTTTCGCTCAGCCTCCGGGCATGGCCGCTCTCACGAAGATGGTGCTCCACCAGGCTCACAGAGAAGGTTAGCTCAGCTCTGTCGGTGCGGGAGCGGCGAGACGACGACCCTCGACGGCTGCTCTGCCTGGTCCTGGGCATACTGGCCTCAGAGTGCAACCTCACAGGTTGCCTAGGCTCCACCTGGCTGCTCTCTGCTGGCTTGCTGGGTTCTGGGCTCCTCAAGCTGATCCCAACTGTCTACTCTGTGTCTCCAAGCGTGTCCTCGCGACCCCTCAAGGTCGCAGCCCAGTCTTCCGCACTCCTGCTCCCGTCACTGATGACGTGTGATGTGTGATGGCTACCAACCAGCCCTCGCTAGGAGCGTTGTGGTCACCTTCACACCCTGGCTTCTAGAAGGGGCCTTCTAGGAAAGACAAAAGTTTTGAGGAGGTGCAACTTAGTGGTGCCATCAACAACCAAGACTTTCACAACCCTCGGCTTCTGAGGTAGTTTCGCCGCGCCTACCCATTCAGCACGAGCTCCTTGTCCCTCCGCCCCTAGCACCCCAGGCACCGCTGTACACCCGAGAGGTTTTCCCTTCTCAGTTCTGGAGACTCAAACTCAGAGTCCCAGGCATCCCGAGCAAATCCAGAGCTACAGCTTTCCCTGTCCCTGGGGCCCCTTAGCCATTACTCTGCTTTTTGCCACATCAGCTGAGGTCTGAGTTGAACATCTCCTGTAGGTGGACTCATTCGGCTAACTGTGGCCTCTTGAGTGTACCCGTGTCTGTCTGTGTCACTTAGCACCCTGGATTCATGATGCCTCGCGCACGGTACACAGGTTCCTTGTGTCTCACCTCACCTATACAGCGGCTTGAACCAGTGCTCCTCCAATCCTTTCTGTAAGTGCTGCAGCCCCGATGGCAAACTATTCTGGCACCCGGCAGCCACAGAATACTAACTGTTACAGCTTGGATGGCAGAGTATTCTAGCACCCTGGAGCCACAGAATACTAAGTGTTATGCCTCGGATGGGAAAGTATTCTGGCACCCGGGAGCCACAGAGTACCACAGGTCACAGTAAGCTTGGCAGCTTACAGCCCTGCTCCAGGGAAAGGCTTCCCCAGTGTAACAGCTCTGCTCTGGCAGGGGAGGGCGGGGTGGGGGTGGGGGTGGGGGGCTCCAGGGTTAACAGCTATGCTCTGGCAGGCAGGGAAGGGCTTCCCCAACAAAGTTGCTACAGTTCAGTTTCAGTCCCCCACAGTGTAACAACTCTGCTTCACTAGGGGAAGGTTTCCCCAGTGAAAGTGTCACAGCCTTGCTCCATCTTTGCTCTGGCCGAAGGAAGCTCATCACCCAAACATCATTCAAGAGATTTATTGGGAGAGAAGAATCCAGGGGAATGGTTGCCTCTGCCTGGATGGAAGAAGACAGCTGCAAACTGGACAGGCACAGGGTTTATATGGGCATTCTCAGGGGCGGAGCTTTTTCCAGGGAGGAGATTTCCATGGTGAGGACTGGTCAGATTTCAGTCCTGGAGCTCAGATTGATGAGATCTCTTGCTCAGGGATTGGCTGGTTTTCTGCTCAGGGTCAGGGGCAGATTTGTCTCTGGTTTCACGGCCAAAGTGTGTTTCTTTCGCTGTTTCTTTTTAGCCTTTTGGCTCTAATTTCAGGGCCAGGGTGTATTTCTTTCACTGGCTTTGATTCCAGGGACAAAGTGTCTTCCTTTGACACTGGTTTCGGAGTCAGGGGGCATTTCTTTGGTTCTGCTTGCAGGGCCAAAGTGTTTTTTTGGCTGGCCCTTTCCCCCTACACTTCCCTATATGCACAGGTCAGTTTACTTATTCCCTCACCTCCTAACTGGCACTTGGGGGGCCTCCACCTTTAGAAAACAACAGAAAAGAGAAAGAATAGACAGAGACATTATAGGTTTAAAGAGAAATCAGGCACTAGGGAAATGTCTACAGAGCTACTAACAATCTAAGCAACAGTGGGGAGGCTACCTTAAATGCCCTCTCCTGATAATGAGATTGATGACTAATTCATATGAAATTGTATAACCTTCATCCAGCAGCAGATAGAAGTAGAAGCAGACACCCACAGCTAAATCTTGAACGGAAATGAAATCCAGTTGCAGAGAAGGAAGACAGATGAGCAAAGAGCTGAGACCCACAGAAGAAGCTGACCTGAACAAGGGAGGGCTCTTGGTCCCCAGACTGATAGCTGGGAAATCAGCACTGGACTGATCCAGACCCCCTGAATGTGGATATCAGTGAGGAGACCTTGGAAATCTATGGGGCCCCTTGTAGTAAATCAGTATTTATCGCTAGCATAGGAATGAACTCTGGGAGCCCATCCCACAGGGAAGGATACTCCCTGAGCCTAGACACAAGGAGGCTGGCCTAGGCCCTATCCCAAAAGATATGGCCGACTCTGAAGACCCCTTATGGAAGACGTCACCCTCCCTGGGGAGCAGAAAGGGTATGGAATAGGTAGGGTATTAGTTGGGGGGCAAGGGAGGATGGGAGGGAGAGGGACCTGGGATTAACATGTAAAATAATATTTTTTCTAATTAAAACAAATAAATTGAAATATGAAAAAAGAAAGCAACAGGAAGATTTCACAGTCTTCTTAGGTGAAAACAGAGCTTGATATCTACCAAGTTGTCAGAAGAATATCTCCCCCTAAGAAAGTATTTCATTAGGAAAAAAAGTGGGATTGGGGTTGTCCAGGAGAGGACAAGCATAAGAAAGCATGGACACCTGGTCAGGTCCTTCAGAGAGACCTGTGAATCTCAAGGGTGAGAAGAAATGAAGAATGTAGCAAAGGAAACTTTCACAAGGCTGGAGAAATGGGGTGGGTATCTGGATATTTAAACAAAGGGGCAGCTTCTGGCCCATTTGGGAGAGAGAGAAGGCATACACTTTATTTAGAAGTCAACATTGCAGACGTCAAGAGATGGATTAGAGAAGAGTGGCCTCTGATAAAGGTCTAGTAGCACTGGCAAGGAATGATGAGTGTCTGGTGTAGGGTAGCAACAGTGGATATGTAAGACAGCATGAGGTAGTACTACAGAAGGAAGAGTCACAGGGCCCATTGGTGATAACTGGATGAGGAGGACGAGGAATGCAATCCTCTACATAATAGCAATGACCTTGCATGCTTTCCACCCATATAGAGAACAGAAGATGTGTATACACGATCGCCCACTATCACGTGTGACACCATCCATGAGCATGGGCATGTGTGTGCATGGGAGTGAGGGTATACAACCCCCCCCATGCACACTCATAATAAAAGTAGAAGTGGCATGATGTGAGAGAAGGGAACAGTGATACCTGTTGTTAATTTGGCAGAAGTTAGAATTATCTGATAGTTGGATCTCTGGGCATCTCCCTATGTGTGGGCAGTTTTCTAGATTATGGTAGCTGAGGTGAGCATACTGTGGGTGACCCCATTCCCTAGGCAGGTGAGTCTGGACTGTATTGTTGTGCCCAGATCATAGAACCCCAAAAGAACCCGCCAACAAGGAGACGACTCACCGAATGCAAGGACAAAGGTTTCTTTATTGACTCGAGGATATGAGTTGCAGCAAGGACCCTATTCATTTGTTTCGAAACAAATGGAGTGCCCACTTTCGACTGAGGGCTGTTTTTATAAGGGAAAATTGTAGGCTGGAAGCCCCAAGATTACAAAACTTCCGTGGTTTGTCGTGACCAGGCATGTCTCAACTCCAAGCCATGACAGCCGTGAGGTTCTGCCTGAGTGTGGGTGTGTGGACCTGGAAACTCCTAGCAACCCAGCAGCGATAAAGACCAAACACAGGCATCTTGTCATCTTTAGAGAGCTCTCAGTTCCATGTTGTAAAACTAGAGTCTTTTCTTTATTTACCATCTTTTAGGCTGTTTCTTAAACATGCTTCCATTACCACGAAGAAACCGTTTCTGTCCTTGTTCTCCTCTCTGCTAGCTGGCACCTCACCTTCTGTCCTCACTTGTTACTTACACACCTAGCACCTCTGCCCAGGTGCAAGCCTATCCAGATGCTTAGGCCCATAGACATGCAAACTAGGAGACATTCCCCACCGAGGTTATGTCATTCAATAGCAAATCAGTTAGCATCCTATATTCAATGCAGACCAGAGTTCCTGGTTCCTGGAACCCCTGGAAATCGCTCCCAACTTTGGTTACACAGGAAGGGACAATGATTGTAAGCTTCAGGCAAGGCTCAAATAAGCAGGATGCTGCAGAGGAAATGAGTTTGTTAATTATGTCCTGGGCTGGGGATTATCTGATCCTCTTTGGACTAGAGGAATGTCAACACAGCTCAAGGGTGTGATATTTGGTCTAAGCACTTGAGTCATGTGGACCTTTGTTTAAACTTATCTGTTGGGCTGCCTTTTGGGAACTCAGAGAAGCCTAAGAGTTTTTGTATTTGGGCTTTGGAGTCCAAGTTTTAGACTTTTATTAATTTTTCCCTTTCAGGATAAGAGTGGAGAATGCTAACCCAGCACTACCATAAGGTGGAGGATGACTTTAAAACAAACAGAAAACATCATCATCAACAATAAAAAAGTGATGCTTTTCATTCAAGCAAGTTAATTCTCTGAAACTTATGAGCAAATACTTTAGGGATAACTTTCCCTTAATTTGTATCTATTAGAGAATCTTAGGAGAAATTCCACAAGGTGAAAGAATTACCTGAGAGATTCTCATAGCAGGCATGGGTATCTCTCTCACATTTCCAAATTTATTTCCAATAGGGAGAAAGAGAGGAGAGAGAGAGAGAGAGAGAGAGAGAGAGAGAGAGAGAGTAAGTGAACAAATATTTCAAACAGCATCCAGGGAAAAGGTAAACCTAGAGGAAGTTGATACTCAGAACAGTGCTTCTGAGCCTCCTGTTGCTATCCTCAGGCATGTTGTGAGATCCAGGCCCCCATGATGGGAAAGCAGCAGGGTTATGGGACACTGGGAGGTTGAAGAAGTTGAGAGGAGACATAGGAAAATAAGACACACTTTAGTCACTTAAAGAAAAAGGTTCCTAAGCAGGCAGTCAGTGGCAGGCATCCATGCATGCCTGCACAAGGCCAACACACATGGGAACCACATGGGTGGTTGGTCCATGGAACACTTGGTGGTATGAATGGAGGCCTGCCAACA